ATAACTCTTTTCAGGAATAGAAAGTCTCATCTTTTCCCCACAATGTTCCTAATAGTGGAGGCAAAAATAATCTACTCAGTCAGATTTCCAGAGTGTCTTTTTTTATGGCCAGTGAAGAAGATGGGCCACAATTAAAGGCAGTTATTTGACACAGGAGAGGATTAGTTCATGTGTCTTTCATATAACACAATAAAAGGATTGTTTTTTTTCAACATAATTAAAATCTCAATCTGAGGCATGTCATCAACAAATGCAGCAGATATTAAGAGGAAGAATGCTACGGGAAGTGAAGGAGGGGAGGAATGATGAGGACCTGGATGCAGGGCCAGCCTTGTATGACCAGTTGCAATAAGGATACGTTAGCTTTCCTTCAGTCTGCATACACAGCCCTTTGCGCTCTGACTGTTGTGGTGATGGTCAATGTCCATAGATCCAGGCATTCTTCAATAAATTCACGCATGTATGAGAAATGTGGCTAGCTTATGGCCAAGAAAATGAACGCATGGACCCTGATTGGTGTCATTAAACCCACTAATGACCTAATGGCTAACCAGCCTTGAGCATACACGCACATGCACTCTTGGGCACAAGAAGGGCTCAAAGTTAAGGGAGAGGTTTGGAGAATACTCTCCTTTCTTTCAAGTCTCGCACACATGAATCGGGCATACAGCTAAAAAAGAATGTAAGGACAGGGAAGATGACAAATGGCATCAGTAACAGAGCTTTATACTCATCGATCTGTGTGAAGTAGATTCCTCGATTATCCAAACACTTCAATGGCGTACGCTAGTGCCTTCTGAACATCAAAGTGGTATATACTTGTAAGAGATCCCAGGAGTTTGTAGTGAGAGATTCTGAGATGGTGATTCTAATTGACCCTCACTCAGCTTTATCTTTCTAAGATCTGTCACAATACTGATGCCTGTAAGTATTATGAGTAAGTGGCATCCGGTAAGATGCCACGTCTGTCTGGCACAGTTCCCATTCTCTCAAGGCTGCCTTAGCCCCGGCAGGCAGTGCTTTGGCTGGTTCAGGTTTTATTCTATTTTAAAAGAGGCAGTGGGAGTTGGGGATGAGGGCAGAGCTCTAGATCAGAGTTCCATGATTTGGTTCCAATCGCAGGAAGAACAGGACCTCGGTCTCGTCCCTGTAGCTACATGTGTATTAATGCATGGTCACGGCAAAACAAACTTCTTTTAAGCACTGGGCCTCTGCCAACACCATCAAGTATAGAAATTAAGTGCTGACAGCCTGAAATTGGTTTTGAAAGTGCTACTTCAATAGGAATCTGATTGCCCTATCTAGGGGGATAGATTGGTCAGGCCCACGGCTTAGAAAAGTATAAATCTTTGAGTCTTTCACTCCAGTAAGACGCAGCTATGCGATGTTGACCTAGTCTTGCTCAATTAATGTTAATGATTGTTCCAAGGCACTCCTTAACTCAAGAGTCTTAAGAATCACCACCTAGGGTCTTGCAAATTGTACAAAACAGAGACCCATCCAGTCGGTGCTCTTGCATTCGAGGGGGAACCCAAAAATACCCAGAGTTTTTTTCCCCAAAGCTATGTATTTAATTTTTCTTTTCAAAACAACTGTATCACCTTCAAAGTACTCTCCATTACATTTAGTACATTGGTCAAATCTGCGATTCTATTCTTGGAAACATTTTTCAAACTCATCTGTTTGGATAGCACCTCCCTCATTTTTTTCTTCACCTCTTCCATGTTGTCAAATCACTGTCTTTTCGAGTCTCTCTGCATTTGTGAAAACAAAAAGAAGTTGCATGGATCGAGGGCAGGTGGGTAAGGTGCATGGGGCAAGAGAGGCATGCTGTTTTGTGTCCACAACTGGCACACTGAGATGGCTGTATGAGCTGGTGCATTCTCGTGGTGGCATAAGCAACCCCCGCCCCCATCTGCCACAAATCAGGCCTTTTTTTTTGGCGCACACTGTTATGTGATCTGTTCAGAACCTCTAATTAGAAAGCTTGATTAAGTGTTTGACCGAGTGGAATGAATTCCAAATGCACTATCCCCCTCATATCAAAATAAAACCAAATGAGCACCTTCTTGCTCTTTGACTTCACTTGACAAACTTTCTTTGGCTGAGGTGAGATGGCGTCTTCCACTGGCTTGATGGATGTTTGCTTTTGGGATCCTAAGAATAGCCCCATGTCTCCTGACTAGTAATGACCTGGGGAAAAGTCTGGGTTGCCTTGGAGCTGTTCTTTCAAAGCACAGCATGGTCCCACTCAACGATCTTTTTCCTGGTCAGTGAGAACCTGAGGTACAAATTTCACGGCAACTCTTCTCATTCCCAAATTTTCTGCTAAAATTTACTGAACCAAGCTCCAAGATAGGCCAGATAACTTCCTCATCTCTTTCTCCAATGGTCCATCATTGATCTCTGAGCACAAGTGCACAAATTTTGTCGACATTTTCAGCTGTTTGGGAAGTTGATGAACATGCAGAACGAAGTTTGTCATCAATTGACATTTCACTGCTCTTGAAATGAGAAAACCACGTGTACACTTGAGTTTTTCCCATAGTGTTGTCCTTGTAAAGTTGTGTCCAACATCACAACAGTTCCAGAGGTATTTTTCCCAAGCAGGAAACAAAATTTCACAGCTGCACTGCTGTTCTCTTAAATCGCCCATTAGGATAAAAGAGGTTTGAGCAAAACTGCTTTTACAAAAAAGTTTACTGTGACCAGAGAGAACCTTCCGAGGTGAAGCCACTGGGTGCACTAGCACTGGTTGCAAATTGCTCACTGCTTGCCTAGTGGGAAAAATGCATACTATGCTAGATAGAGCTTTTTTCTGCTTTGTGTGTGTGTGTGTGTGTGTGTGTGCGTGCGTGTGTGCATACCCCTGCATATATGCACCATATGCATATTGATGTGAGGTTATGAAATTGATTGGAATACAAGAAAATAAGTGGAAAAGAAAGACAAGCGCCAAGTCTTGTTCAAGTTAGAAATTCTCAATAGAATCTCATTAAACCCCAAAGACCTTCAGCTCCCCTGAAACAGGAGGACTTTCGTGATGAAACGGAATGCCTAGCAGTCTAGCTATGGAGCTACTCTTACAATGAGGGACTCCTGGCTGGGATACTGACCATTCCCTGAGATCAGCTGGCTGACATACAGCATTATGAGTGAATGCTCATTAGCCACAGGGCACTTATCCCCTCAGCTAACCTGAGGGATGCAAACAATGAGACCTCAGTACAACCTCCCATGGACAGAGCATGGCCCACTCAGCGAGGAAAGATGTTCATGCAGACAGCTTTATTGAACAACACCCTTTAAACACAAACGAGAGGCCAACCTCTACGTTGAGAAAATGAACTGCAAGCTTTAAACAATGTGTCTGTGGTTCACACAGAACATTCCAAAAGGACTGGAAATGGGGAAGAAGGAAATGATCACATTTTGGGTTAGTGAGCACCCTGGAGGAAACAGAACAGCTCAAAGGATTATAGGGATGTGTTAGGTAGAAGAAGTCATGTTATCCATCTAGACGCATCCACCATAAGCACCGTCCGAGCTGAAATGATATAAAATGACCTTCAGTAAGGATGGGTCTCTCTGGGCTTGGCATTTGCAGAATGCAGGACTTCCTCAAATATGCACAACATTTTTCAAAATACTAGGTGAGGGCTTCCCTAGACAGAGGCACAGGCCTGTGTCACTCCCAGACTTTAGCGTTTAGGACGGTGGCCTGCATTTGCTGGTGGTTCTGAACGGAGTGTGGGTGAGGGAGCTCCTGAGGGTCCAGCCACAGCACCCACAGTTCTCTTCACGCCCCTCATTGCAACCTTGCTTCCTTCGTACCAGTGAAACACGGGGTCCCCCCACTCACTCTTGACTGCTAATTCCCGTTTATGGGGAACATCGTTATCTCAGGTTCCCGCCGATGTGCAAATACAGAAACAAAGGGGAAACATAGCAGTACTCTGACTTACACTGTCTTCACATCCTCACGAGGAGGTACCAAGATACGACAGTGAAATTGGTACTTCAGAAAGCTCTTCGGGGAAATGATTAATTATGTTTGCTGGTGAAATATGAGGCTGCGCTTCGTCTGGCCCTGCTGATAGGCATTGAGATATCAGGCTCACGCACTCACTCCACTTTCCTTACCTTTGCGGCTGCGCTCCTGTGAGCATTCTTCTGGTATTTACAACATCATTCTCTAGTTCTTTGGCCATGGTATGTGATGAACTGACTTGGAACACCTCTTGAGCCCTGCATGTTTCTAATACATAACTCTTAAGGTGTCGCCGGTTCACCTGCTCTTTGTTCATAAGGGGGTGGACTCTGTCCAAGAAGATGTGACCCATAGTCACCTCGCTGACACCCCTCTTCTCGGCCCCTCCCGTTCTTGTTCTTTTTCATGAAATGACTTAGAAGGAAACTACATTGCTAAGGTTTGGTCTTCAGAGTCTAACCTCAATAATCCCTCAAAGAGGATTCTCTTCCATCTGGAGCTTTAAATGATGAGATGTTTCAAGGTACATATAATTACACAGCATAGCTCCTCAAAATCCCTACTCTGTCTTACATAGATCACTACAAGAGCAGTGATGGTCACATTCTCAACAAGATATAATGCACGTGTGTCCATAGTAAAATATAAGCTTATCTTGTATTCCTACTGTCAGTAGCTTATTATAAATGCCAGAAGACTGATGCATAAAGCCAACAGCTTTCTTCAAATGCATCCGAATGAATACTATGAAACACTCATGAGATATTTATAAACTGTTTCTACAACAATCTTGGGTGTTGTTATTGTGGTAAGTGGATAGGCAATGAAACATTTGATGTTTTAAGAATTTTGACATGTAAAATTTAGTGACATCAATTACACTCATCATGTTGTTCATCAGCAATCTGGTTCCAAATTTTTACACCAGTGTTTTTACTGTTTATTTTGCCACAGGATCAAGGCTTATCACCAAAGAGAGGATGTATTTCAAAACAATATTGGAACTTACCTCCTTGTAATAAAAGGGCTTCCTGAGGAGGGGACAGAGTGGGAGAAGAGGGTGTCATTCATGCTGGTGACAGGTCTGGGAGGCCTAGAACAAAGGATCGGCAATTAAAAGCCACACACAAACATGGAAACGATCCTCCATCTCTCTAGGAAAGTGACTAGAGAGAGCCAAGTTTTATTTTGCCCAGGACCAAACATGAAACTTTAACTTTTCAAACTACACTCATTAAGTACTTTGTTACGGATTGAATTGCATCCTCCTCAATAACACAGAGTGAAGTCCTGACCTCTCCTTCTTCCTTTCTGGCCTTGTTTGGACATCTGGTCTCTGAAGATGTTACCAGTTAACATGAGGTTGTGCTGGAGAAGGGTGAACCCTAATCCAATATGGGTGAGGTCCTATAACAGAGAGGGGACACAGACATAGAGGGAAGGTGGCCATGGAGGCGTAGATTGAAGAGATTCATGATAAGCCACTGAATGACAAGGCTTCCAAGAACCACCAGAAGTTGGGAAGAAGCAAGAAAGGATCTGCTCTCCCACCCTGGAGTCTTCAGAGTGTATGGTCCTATTGACACCTTGATCTTCAACTTCTAGCCCCCAGAAGTCACAACACATTTCTGTTGTTTTAAGTCACTTTATTAGTGTTAATTTTTTTGGCCGTCTTTTAGGAAAGGAATATATCTTTTAAAGTCACATGATTTCTGAGAATACATCATCTCAGTTAAACACCGAGAGAGATTTCTGGACACCACAGGAATGGGTATCCGTGCGCTCTGCGTCCTGGCGCGTCCTTCAGTCCTATTCTCTAAGGATGTTGAGGCAGCCTTCCGTGCACTGCCGTCTCAAGGCAGAGCCTCTGAACACTCGATGACTATTAGGATCGACAGAATGTCTGAGACGGGGAAAACTTTATTCTGTGTCCAACAAGGCCATTGCTCCTCTTCCAATGGGATCAGTCTGGGTAGATCCTGAGCTGTATCTGGAAAACTACAGAATCAGTGTGATTTATCTACTTTTTGTTCTATGTGAAGATATGATTAAGCTCTGTAAGGGTTTAAGGATTTATTAAGTTGTTACCATCTGGGTGATCCACATAGTAAGTAACATGTATGGTATAAGGCATACCACAAACTTCCCTTTTTTTTAATCAGGATGAAAAAAAGATAGGCTTCCATATTCCCCAGAATTGCCCTCGGCTTTTGCCACCTGCTCTGTCCAAGTCAGTCACCCTGTCTTCTCGTTTTCACCCCTACTGTCACGCTTTTCCTGCCACCAATGTCTTGAATTTAAAATAAGGTTTTGATTAGAAACAATAGATTTGATTTTAAAAAATAGCGAAGATTCTGATCTCATCTCCAAGCAAATTTTAGTTTCCCTGTTTCTTGCCAGGAAGCTACCGCATGGGAAGACAGGGCGGATTTAGAATCCAGAAGACGAGGTCTCTGGCGGAGCAGGGCATCACTCTGAATCAGAGTGTGCCGGCTTTGAGATCATTCTACACTTGAGCTTCGCAGGATACGAGGCATTTCGAAGATGGGACATTAGCGTAGTCTTTGGAATCTATTTATGCTCACTTGGTTGAAAATTAAGCTTGCAAATGATTTCATCTTTATTTTAGGAAACCAGAGTAACTTTGGGATTCCATGATTCTGGAAAGAAGGGAGATTTATTTATTCAAGTTTACTTATGGGAATGGACACTATGCTGTGCAGCATTAAAATGTTGACATTATATACAAAATCTCCTAGGCATTTTTGTTTCTTAGTACGTTGTACAGAATTGTTTTCTAAGATTTTAAAAGAAACATTATTGGTTGGATGAGGTCAAAATCATACGGTCACCCATCGATACACGCATCAGCAAAAATACATATTTAATTATCTAAAAAATAAAATCAAAGAGAAGAAGAAAATTGATTCACTGTTTCATTTACTCTAATCAGTTTAGCTCACGTTCTGAAACTACCTTTTTGTTTTGCGTTACTTACCTGGCATGTGACTTTGACGCAAGTGAGCGACATCGTGCTAGATTGAAACTGATTCTGCCTCGAGGTGGATATCACCATTTGAAAAGAATCACGCCAAGTTTACACACACGTCCTTTGTGAATTATGAATGTTTAGGGGAAATCAATGAAACATCTTCACTGTAGCTTTGTAGGGCTGATAATATAATTTATCCCACATTTGTGGTTTCCATTTTTATTTCAAGTTTCTGATCTTGAGCTATCACCAGGAAATGAGAATACAAGCGGAAGTAGTTATCTGCCAGGTTGTGTTTTCAAAAAACTAACCTGATAAATTTACTATATTTAACCTGGTGACTGCCTGCAAAACTGAAAAGGCTGCTTTTCATGATGAGAAAAGGTTCATTAGGAGGCCCGCAAAGGCTGATTATGGCCCCACATGGTGTCCCCAGAGGGACTGAAGTTGATAGTTCCTCAATAATTAAATGGCAAATAACTCTATTGAATGATTGGGTCATATTGGGAATCTAAAACATATGTATCCCTATGTAACTGTAGTAGAAATAGCTCCACAAGCCAGGGTAAGACACAAGGAGGGGCCTTTTATAAAGTCCGCTTTCTGGACAAGACCTCCTTCCCCATTGTGGAGATTCTGCCTCGTGACAACCCCAGGTAGTGCAGAGTAGAACTGCCCCACAGGATTTCCCCTGGCTCTGATCTTTACAAGTCCAGTCTCCAGGACTTCCTTCTGCGGTGCTGCTGCTTAGCTTTGAACTACTAACCTTAGGTCAGTAGTCAAAGGCCTTCAGGAACTTTCCTTCTGTGCCTCTTAACCACTGACAGTCATGATGATAAATCTTTGTAAGTGCATTATGGATATTGGATTACTTACCAAGTATCACTTTTGGCAGCAAAAAAAATGGATAGAATAACGACCATTAATCACATTAACTTTTATAAGCCATACAATAGTTAAGAACAAATGCCCAATAGCATCTACCTGCTCATTTCTACTTAAGGAACACTTTATGACTGGAAGTATTCTTTCTGTATGTGTGCAAAATCCCTTGGATCTAGTAAAATAAAAATGTTTTGAGTGTGTGGTATGGTTAATTTCCATTCTGAAGGGCGTGTGGTGTATGTGTGATTGTAGTACTACCTCAAAACCCAAACCAAACTTACTGCCAATAGATGGTGCCAGACTATTAAAAGATATGGCATAAAGCTTGAAGCCAAGCAAGCAGCCATCTAGCAGGGAAGCAACAAAGCCCACATGGAAGAAGCATATCAGTCTATATGATTATGAGGTGTTTATGGGAACAGACATCAGAATTCTAAAACTAAACAACCTCATGGAGGTGATGGAGAGGGGTCAAGCTAGAGACCCAGAGCCCATCTGTGGATAACTGGATGTCCCTGCACAGAGGGGCTGTGCAGAAGAGAAAATGTGCATCCAGGGGGCAGTTTATCACAAGCAAAGTACACAACACTCCTCTAGTTCTTCAATTCTTCCTCCCCCTATTATGATCTCAGTCCAATCTCACAAGTCTTGCTAGACTGATGTACAGACAGTGGCACAGACGAAAGCTTTCAATATACAGAATTCAGGAAAGACAAACTCCCTCAGAAACAGTAGTAGGAGCAATGGTTCCTGGAGGATAGGGGAAGGGAGGGAAGGGGGAACAGATAGCAATGAGGGTAGAATAACCCCCGTCAGGGGAAGAATAATAGGATAGTAGGTGAAGGGAAAGAATGGGTGGTGTAAGATATGTCTAAATAATAATGACAATACATAATATGCCAAGGGTTCACGGAGGTGGCAAGGTGGGGGAGGGAGGGAAAAAAAGAGGAGCTGATATCAAAGGGTTCAAGAAGAAAGATAATGTTTAGAAATCGTTGATGCCCAATTACATGTCCGCTTGAGATAATGGATATATGGTTTGTTGTAATATATGTAAGAGCCCCCAATAAAATGATTTATTAAAAAAAACCAAACTCACTGCCATTTAATTAAGTCTGACTACAGGGCAAGGTAGAACTTCTCCTGTGCATTTTTGAGATAGCAATTCTTTATGAGCACAGAAAGCCTCATCTTTCTGTAATTATTCTACAGATTCAATCTGTTTTGTATCTATTGTATCTATCTCTACAGCCCGATGGCGTAGTGGTTCTGTGGTGGACTGCTAACCACAAGGTGAGCAGTTTGAATAGCAGCTGCTCCAAAGGAGAGAGACGGGGCTTTCTAGTCCCGTAAAGAGTTCCAGTCTCAGCAACTCACAGGGCCAGTTCTAGCTTGTCCAGCAGGGTTGCTATGAGTCGACATTGACTTGATGTCAAAGTAGACTGAGACGTCTACTTTTATAAGGTTCACTCACATTGTTGCCATTTTTCATACTTAAAAGTTCATATTGAAATTTTAAGTAGATGTTGAAAATATTTACTGATTTATTAAGTATGCACCAGGTATAAGCTATCCATTTTTGTCTATACCTTATAATAATTTTGACTGCTTAAGGTTAGATGTAATTTCTAATAGAAGAGTTGCATCACCTTTAAGTACAAATCACCAAGCAACAAGATGTAAAACGACTATGCAATGCTCAACATTAAATTGCATATCCAAAGGGTTCATAACATTATTCATATTTCAGGAATACAGAGGACAGATAATTATCCTTCTCTTAAAAAAATTGTATAACATGCTCTCTATCTGGGTAGTGTCTTATGAGAATTTGTTCTATGTTCACAAGGAAACAATTTTGTAGTAACAAAGAAGAAAAATCCTTTGAGTCTATAACAATTCCCTCCTCAGTTCAGCGAACACATGGCTTAGTATGTTCACCAGTGCTGCCAAAGCTCACTGCTCCATTCTTCCTGTTGTGTATAAACTTATCCACGTGTGTAAATCACATCCCAAACCAA